TTTTACCCTTTTTTTTTTTAGTTTTTTTTTTTGTTTTATTTTTTTTTTTTTTTTTTAACACACCGAAGTAGACTCAAAACTTAGACAATTGAAATCTGTATGGAAACCAAAAGGAAATTTACGGTTCCTATTCTACCATTCATCAACACAGACCAAAAGAAAACAAATAAACATTCATCCCAATTCAAATCCATGACATTCAATCAGAACATGCTTGATTTTTTTTTTTTTTTAACAATATCATCATCAAATATAGTCCTAATACATCAAAATCTAAGAAAAATTGCAACAAACAAGGCGGAAATTTTCTGGGAGAAGACAGATCTGGGTCGGAAGGAGGGATCCCACCCACGGGATCAAGCTCCGTTCGTCTCCCTCACCATCCTTCCCGAAAATCCCTCTGTTTCAGAAAATACCTAACCCAAGACAGAGTAGCAGAGATGGAAGAAAACTGAGGAGGCCGGCCGGCTAGCTGCTGTGCGATGGAGAGGATGGTGACCGGCTACTGTGAGGCGCAGAAAAGACCACAGATCCGTGGCTATTGATGTCGGCTCTCTCCAAAATCAGAAAAATGGAACCCAAGAACAAATCTGAATTCAAACCCCTTTTATCCGATTGCTCCTCTTCAAAACCAGATCTCAAACATTCCTCACTTTCTAGTTGCTGCGTCTTGCTCTTCTCCCCAAAAACCAGATCTGCAAGATCTCCAGGAGGAAGAAGGCTGAGGTAAAGTGAAAGGAAAGAGAGAAGGCTGGGAGCAGAAGAAAGCTCTAAGGACTTTTAGCCACTGCCCTCTTTTCGTTTTGGTTGCCGAATTCTTCTTTTGATTTGGTGGTGACCGAGGATGGTGATGGAGGCTGTGATGATGAAGAAATCGGCAAGAAGATGGTGAAGATCTGAATCCAAAGGGTTCTTTTTATTTTTTTTTTTGGGAGGCTTGCGGCTAGGGTCCTTTTTCTTTAGAAAGGAGAAGGGTCGAGAGAGAGGAGATTTTTTTTTGGTCTGCCGTCCCCCCTCATTGCCGAACATCCTTCCCGTTTCAAAGAGAAAGGATAACTAGGGTTTATTTTGGGTTTGGTTTGAACTGGGTTTTGTGTTTTTTTGGATTTTGATTTTGGTTTTTTTGGGTTTAAGGCTTAAAATTAAAATGGGTTCGAATTGGGCCATTTAAAATGGGTTTAAGGTGTAAATGGGTTTTGGGTTGAACTTTAATGCATTTCACCCTTCAACTTTTCAGTTCTTCAATTGGGTTCCTTCTTTCTTCTTCTTGAATTTTCCAATTTCTTTTTGCATGTAGCATTTGAAACAAAATAAAAATATATTAGTCAAAAAAAAGAGAAATTTTCATATTTTTATATTTTTTTGATTTTTTTTTTATAAAAATTTGAGTTATGACAATGGGTAGAAACATAATCTCATCTTTTCTTAGTATCAAAATTCCAAAAGGAAAGAGGAAAATGAGAAATTAAAGCAATTAAATTCTACCTAAGGTCAAATAAAAAATTGGTGCTTTCCTGGTCTTCGTCTCCGTCTCCCTCCCCAACACAATGGAGGAGTGAGCTGCTGATGAAAATCAGGGCAGTGGAAATCCTTATTTCCTGGTTCTTCTCTAGTTTTCCCTGCTAAATAATAAATAATAAATAATTTTTATTATACAAGATAAAAAAAATAAAAAAAGAGGAGATTACTTACACTTATATGTTATATCACCTCATTATTATCGGATGTACAAAAAAAAAAAAAAACACGTGATTTGCAGACATTTTGGTCATTTAGCCCACAGTACACCACCATCCCACCTTTAAAACGCATAATAATGAACGACAAGACAAGACGACTAATTCAAACCCCACTTGTTACTCTGCACAGCAGCCAACACATATCTTATGGGCGGTATTTCTCCGGCAATTGGAGGTGCTGATGCACCGCTACTTCCAAAGAGTAAGTTGTCAGCGACACATGCATCAGTTTCTGGAGCCGTGTTTAATGTCTCCACGAGCATTATTGCAAATTAAGGTAATGAATCTTTAAAGAGATATTTTTTTTAATTAAAAAATATATAAATAAATATATTAAAATGATCAAATTATCTTTAAAGTGAAGGGTATTTGAGGTCATTTAGTAAAATTCCTTTGCCTATAAATAGGCCATCATTTGGGAAGAAAGGGAAAAAAAGGAGAGAGGAAGAAAGAAAAAAAGAAGAAAAGGAGAGAGGAAGAACGAAGAAGGAGAAAAGGAGAGGAACAATGAGCTTCAAGCTCCCTCAACAATTCTCGAAGTTTCAAGCCCCAACCTCCTGCCAAGGGTAAGCTCCAAATCCATATCAAGGAGAAAAAGTTTCAAATGCAAGTCTTAAATCCTTTGAAGAACAAGAGCAAGCTTAAGCCCTTGCCTTTCAGCCCCAACCTCCTGCCAAGGGTAATCTCCAAATCCATGTCAAGGAGGAAAAGTTTTAAGTGCAAGTCTTAAATCCCTTGAAAGACAAGAACAAGTTTAAGCCCTTGCCCTTCTAAAATTCAACTATTAATCAGAGGATCCTGCTGTTCTAAGACGTGTTACTCTTCAAAGCCTAAATTTTGTGACTACACATCTTTGGCGACTCCACTGGGGAAATCTCTGCCTCTCATCTTTCAGTTGAAGAAAAATTCCACCATATCTTTCTAGGCATGGCGGACTCAAAGCAAGCTGTAACTCCTCTTGCAACTCAAAAAGTTCAAATCTTTTCCAATCAATCCTCCTTGTTGACTCGTGCCAAAGTGCGCACGATGAGACCCAAGTTGGTCTCCCCCTTGAGGCAATTCATTAGAAGACGTCGTAAGGAGGCTGCAATGAAAAAACGAGCATTAGCCATCCAGTCACCTTTCCAGCCTGTGAAGGATGTCGAGTACTTCTCTTCAGAATCTAGTGAAGGTGAAGAACTCAATCTCAAGCCCAGTCATGTGTCTACTTCGAAGCTAAGGTGGGCTAACTATCCTTCATCATCGTCTGAGTCCCTCTTACCTGCCTTGGTTACTGAAGTGACATCTGGTGACCCGGATGCTCTCCTCAAGGCTGTGGAAGGCTTAAGGAAAGCTGTGGCTAAAAAGGATGCCCAAATCAAGGAACTCCAAGAACTCTTAACGGCTCAACACTTATCAAAACAGAATAACCAAGCAGCATCAAGCTCAGTCGCTGAAAAAACCCTCAAAAACAAGGAAGACTCATTAAGAACTTCAAATCGGGGTAAGCAAGTCACTATGGAGGAAAACTTGGAGCAACAAAAGCAAGAGCAACTAGATCGAACAATTCTCCAAGGTGCTTTCTGTGACATTACTCATGCTACTGTGGCATCTCTTACATTTCCACAACTTAAACTTTTAGTTGATGATGTGATTCGAGCTTGACAAGGAGGAACCTCACAATCCTCACTTGTGTATGCCAAGCCCTATACTCGTAGGATTGATAATCTAAGCCTACCAGACGGCTACCAGCCACCAAAATTCCAAAAGTTCAATGGGAAGGGCAACCCAAGGCAACACGTTGCCCATTTTGTCGAAACATGCAACAATGCTAGCACCTATGGGGATCTCATGGTGAAACAGTTTGTCCGATCCTTGGAGGACGCAGCCTTTGAATGGTACATTGACCTTCCTGCTAGATCAGTGGATAGTTGGAACCAGTTAGAGCGAGAATTCTTGACACGTTTTTACAGTACCAAGGGTACTGTTAGCCTGCCTGAGCTTGCTAACACCAAGCAAAAGAAAGATGAGTCTGTGACAGGCTTCATTGAAAGATGGAGGAATCTCATCCTAAATTGTCGAGAAAAGATTAGTGAGATCTCTTCTATTGATATGTGTGTGCAAGGTATGCATTGGGGACTGTTGTATAACCTTCAAGCTAACATGCCACATACCTTTGAAGAATTGGCCACTCATGCCCATGACCTGGAAATTCAAATTGCTAGGCATGGTAACTTTCTTCCAACAGATGCTCGTTATAAAAAAGAGTCTTGAAAAAATGTGAAGAAGGAAGTGAAACCTTCAAAAGCAAAAGAAACTATGGCAGTCACAACAACAATTATGAAGATCTCACAACAAAAGCCAAAGCCAAATCCTAAACAAGTCTACCTTGAAAGAGTTGCAACAAAAAGAGTATCCATTTGCAGACTCTAAAGTGCCAGTTATCTTTGAGCAATTGTTGGCGCTAAACCTAATTGAACTTCCAACTCCTAAGCGCCCAGAGGAAGTTGGGAGAGTAAATGATCCAAAATACTATAAGTATCATCGAATTGTGAGTCATCCAATCGGTAAGTGTCTTGTGTTGAAAGATCTAATAGTTCGTCTTGAGAAAGAAGGCAAAATACAACTAGAAAGTGAAGAAGGTTCCGCTACCACCAATGTTGCCATGGTATCCTTTGGATCATTCAGTCCAATTCCACTCCTACCTGTGCAACCAACCCCACTAATGGTTCAGCCTAAGGAGTTTGGTCCCCACCTGCCCAAGGGGGCAATTCAAGCTAAATTTCAAACAGATGATGAAGAAAAGATAGCCTATGCTTATCCTGACATGCTTACTTCTGGAGGTCCAGGCTCTCTTTCTTTATATCACCTTATGACGGTGAATCTTGAAAATTGGGAATCATCATCTAAGTCTGAAGATGAGGTTGGCGATGGTTGGTCAACCTTCATTAGTAAGAGCAAAAAACACCGTAATCCAGTATCTAGTGGAATGCCACTCCCAGATCCTCATAAAATCATGTATGATATCTATCCAGAGATAAAGCCGATTGGATGGTGTTCAAACTCTAAGTTTCCTGCCTTTTACAATGATGATGATGGGTGGATTCCAATTCAATCACAAAGGAGGAGGCGTCATTCAAGACCCACACTACCATCCATCCAAAAAAATCATTCATTTCTTTCAGCTTTGCCAACTACACCAAAAAATCAAGAACAACGTCAACTAATGAAAAGGAGGTCCGATTTACAAACAAGACTTCGACAAGTTCCTAAGAAGAGAAAGTCACTATCTGAGAAAGATATGAACTCAAAAGAAAGAGCTGCAGTTACTCTTTATGAATACTTTCCAGAGGGATATTTTTCTGATGAGGAAGTATCTGTTAATGTCACAAGTTTCAAGACAGAAAACAAACCATCATCTAAAGAAGAAGCTGAGGGTTCCAAGAGCCAATCAAATGATCCCGAAGCTGATGGAAGTATTAAGAAATTGAAGCAACTTCCATCTAATTTACAGTTATCCAAAGCCTTGCAGCTTTCATGGGATATACGCCTTGCTCTTGTACAAGCTTTGTTAGACCCAAAAAAGTTCCAAGGTGAGCTAGCCAAGCCAGAAACTAAGGCTGAGTGTTTAGGAACAATAACCTTCACCTATTTTTAGGTGACTTGTCCCACCTTATAATTTGGACGAGTGGCGACTCCCTTCTTTTTTATATTTTCACACTTAATCCCTTTTAAGTGGTCGTCAACACCAATCACCTTTCAACATCGTAACGGCGGAAATCATCTCGGAAGTAGGTCTTCGATTTGGAGCCATGTCTACATAAAGTCATACACAAAAGGCCAAATTATTCATGTTAAGTTCATGAATTAAAGACAAAGTGGTGCATGCAGCAAGAAGTTTGGGGCCAAGACTTTTTGTGTCTTAGAAAAAATGCTGCTCTAATTGTTGCCTGTGGAAAAGACTTGATTGGGGCAAATCACAAATTAAGTGACTAAATCACAAAATTATAGAAAGTTGGAGGACAACAGTAAAAAAAAAGGGTTCAAGGACCGGATTGCAATTTTGCCCAAAAAAAACGAAAAAAGAAAATTTTGCATCATTCTCGAAGAAAACCCAACACGGACGACTTCATATGCATGTGCAGAGTGTTGACACTTGCGTTTACGTGTTGATCCATAAAAGTGCAGCGTTAAAAAAAAAAGGGGGGGCCTAATGGGAGCAGGTGGAGGCTTTCTATTTATGCAATACCGTGCATGTCTAAAGATTAAAATAAAAAAGGGCCACCGATTGTCAAAGCAAAATTATAGCAGCATGTGGACATAAAAAAGAAAAAGGAAAAAAGAGAGAAACAGAAAAAATTGACATGTTTTTTGCATCATACAAAACAGAATTTGGTACAGGCTAAAAGGACTAGCAAAAGACAACATACCTGTCACTTGGATACACTTTAAGATGACTTTGCACAACAGATTACTTTCAACTTGACTGTTTGAGTGGGTGCTATCCTACATCATTAAGAAAGTGGAATTAAATAATTGTAAAGAGGCCTATGGTAAGCCTATCAGAGTCAGCAATTAGAAGATTAAAATAAGATGCAGTGGAGGATACCCATGTTGATGTTACAGCAATGGTGACAATGAAAAAATCAAGGTGAAACTACCCCAAAATTGCTCTAAAAAGGGGAAAGGTCGAACAGCCCCAAATTGGAGAATGTTGTCACTACCGTCCCACTTTAAAGGGATCAAAAGAATGAAGCTCTCCTCCTGAAGCTCTGTTCCTGAAACTCTGAAGCTCTGTTCCTGAAGCTCTGAAGCTCTGCTCCTGGCTGAAGACGCTGTTGCTACTCTATGCGTTTGCTCTCCCAAAAGACTCAATTTATAGAAGCATCAAGATAGAGTTTGGATAGAAGTCGATCTGAATTTTTCTTTAAAATTCGAAGTCCTATTTTAAATTTAAGATTGATTTGCAGATAAAATGATGAGATATAGCTAAGGAGAGGGAGTTTGAGTTTGGAATGAACTTCCACCAACGGATGAGCGCCAAAAAAAAAAAAAAAAAAAAAAGAAGAAGAAGAGGAACAAGAGGGTTCGTAAACGGACTCTGAAGAACGGATAAGGCCGGTGAAAAAAAAAAAAGAAAAAGAAAAGAGAAGAAATCCGTAAATGGGCTAAAAAAAATAGGAGTCCGTAAATGGGCTTAAAAAAAAAAAAGAGGGAGATATTTGTTAAAATATCACTCATTTTTCTTGAGTAGCGGACATCAAAAATTAATTTACTTTTGCAGAAAATAATGCAAGTAAATTAATTTTAAGGGGGCATTTGTAGGCATCTAAAAAATGTCAAAATTAAAATATATTTACCCTAGTAAAAATCTTGAAAATTAGGGTAATAAATATTTAAAGAGATATTTTCTCTTTAATTAAAAAAAATATAAATAAATATATTAAAATGACCAAATTATCTTTAAAGTGAAGGGTATATTAGGTCATTTCGCAAAATTCCTTTGCCTATAAATAGGCCATCATTTGGGAAGAAAAGGGAAAAAAAGGAGAGAGGAAGAAAGAAGAAAAGAAGAAAAGGAGAGAGGAAGAAGGAAGAAGGAGAAAAAGAGAGGAACAACGAGCTTCAAGCTCCCTCAACAATTCTCGAAGTTTCAAGCCCTAACCTCCTGCCAAGGTAAGCTCCAAATCCATGTCAAGGAGAAAAAGTTTCAAATGCAAGTCTTAAATTCCTTGAAGGGCAAGAACAAGCCCTTGCCCTTCAACCCCAACCCCTTGCCAAGGGTAATCTCCAAATCCATGTCAAGGAGGAAAAGTTTCAAGTGCAAGTCTTAAATCCCTTGAAAGACAAGAACAAGCTTAAGCCTTTGCCCTTCTAAAATTCAACTGTTAATCAGAAGATCATGCTATTATAAGACGTGTTACTCTTCAAAGCCTAAATTTTGTGACTACACAATCCCTATAGAGGTTCTTGATCTATTTAAGTGTGTCAGAGCACAAAAATATAAATTGATTCGTATAGTAGTTACATTTGAGAAAAGCCTATACCAAGCATTTTTATTGTTCTTCAATCTATGAATTGAAAGACTGCAACAACAGAAACTTGAGCTCGCATGGTTTAACAATTCCAACTTCAAGTCCAAGCTGGAGCTGGCCATTTGGCTTTGTTAATATTATATCAGACAAAAGTGCATATTAAGTCATTGACAACATCAATCAGAAGCAAAAAAGAACAACCAAGAAATTATTAGGTCCAAAGAATTGCAACGAAAAAGCCCTGCTTTTCTGATAGACCAACTATACACCATATTCTTTGAACACATCAGTGTTGTACCACGTTACTCCCTACTTCTCTAGAGCTAATTTTACTTTGATTTCGGAAGATTCAAGGAGTGATTGAAGCTCTCCAGAGTAATTTCCAAGATGATTACTATCTGAACTTTGCACTAGTGAATCTGCAACATTGACACTGCCCTCGGAAGTTCCACTCTGTTGTAGAGCTTCCTTTGTCATTATGTCTTCGTAAAACAACTTAAGTGCATCTGTTGTTGAGAGAGACTGCACAGATTCATGTAACTCCTGGAATTTGGTTCTCTTGTCTTGTGTTTTAATCAAACTCTCCCTCAACCCATTCGGAAGACAAGCCACGGCACTTGACAAGGCAGTTCAACCAAAAGAGAACATCAGTAAGAAAAAGACACATATTTTGAAAAGAAAATCGGATCTACGGCCATGCTTTGTAAATCAAATATATTAGCATTTAGCAAGATGGACATGTTTTACCTTGTAATACCTCTAACAAGCCCCCAGTTGTAACTTGCAACCACTGATTGCTTAAATCCAATATTAAACCCTTCTTGTGAAGAAGCATCTTTTCCTGCTAATAGGCCATCACGATATCCCATCTGAAAATTCTCAACAATAAGACCAATCAAATGTCAAATGGCTACCATATCCTGTGCCTAGACTACAAAATGGATAAAATGTAATTGTCACCTACCGTGTGAAATTGGTTCTGCACTCTCTGCAACTCCCTGTCTGATTCTTCATCAGAATCATACCAAGATCTGTCATCTGTATGGAAATCAGCCTCATCTGAACCCGATAGTATCAAGTTATCGGGTGCTGAATGGTACAAAAATTTTCAGTTACTACCACGCAATAACATGACAACTAGAATCATTATGAGAAAAACAATGCCATTGATAAGTGACCAATATCAAGATGCAACCCTGAGCTTAGTGATCTTCACAAGCTATTAGAACTCAAAAACCACTTAACATTGAACTGCTAAAGTCCAAGCTATGAAGGATAAAGAATTTTCTATCTTGCATTGGATAGGACATTAAAAACTGCCGAAAGCTATTGATAAGTCAGATAAATTTACACCAAGACCTTCTCAATGAACAGATGGATCAGCTTAGGGCTACGGCATAGGATTGATTCCACTTACTATTAGCAGTTGAAGAATGACCCAGTTGTAGTTTCGAAAGCTGAAAACTTTCTGAATAGATCTCCTCAGCAAGACTGTTTTCCATCTTCTATAACCAGAAATAAGAAAAAAATTTCAAAATTCGCACTAGAACAACTCGCCAAGAGTAACATCTGCATTCAAAGACCATAATTTAGGATAAAAACGACAGTGCAGGAAGAAAAAAAAAAAAGAGACTAAAAGAAGGTGACTTCCATGAAAAATTAAAACAAAAAATTCATTGGGGCATTTCATCGAACAAGTTTCGTCCATATTTAAGAAGACCCCATATCATGGGTAGAAACAAAATCTCGATCCTTTCTTAGTATCAAAATTCCAAAAGGAAAGAGGAAAATGAGAAATTAAAGCAATTAAATTCTACCCAAGGTCAAATAAAAAAATTGGTGCTTTCTTGGTCTCCGTCTCCGTCTCCCCCCCAACACAACGGAGAAGTGAGCTGCAGATGAAAATCAGGGCAGTGGAAATCCCTATTTCCTGGTTCTTCTCTAGTTTTCCCTGCTAAAAAAGGGACTTCCGATATTGGATTTTGAGAGCTTTTCTGGGGGCCATAATATGTACATGGGCCGGTCTCTACTTGATACGGTCCATTTAGGAAAGCCTTTCGTGAGCATAGTGAAGAAAAATGCTGTGTGTACATTTCCATTGTTCCGCACATAGCCAACTGTAAACTTGCGTGCTTGGTTTGGACTTTTATCAGAGACAATTTGGAAAAATTTTTTTTTTTTTTTGACCAGGTAGATAGTTAGGAAGTTAGTAGAGTTAGTTTGTTAGCAGCTGGAATTTTTTCAGGAAAATGAAACTTCCACCCCCTCATTTGAGGCGCGCAATGATTTGAAGTTAATGATATAGTTTATATCATATTATTAAACTAATTAACATATATAATATTATAAATTTTTTAAAAATAAAAAATAATCATTAAATAATAAAAATTTATTTTTTAATATTTTAAATACCATAATATAAATCATATCATTAATCTCACATTTTACTTTCAAAATTTACTCCATTTATTATTATTCTTACATAATAGAGTTCATCAATGTAAAGAAATAAATCTTCTAGCACAAATTCTAATAGAGCAATATAGCCAATTATATTGTCAACATGATTTTTTTTTTTTA